CAGGCATTCGTGCTTGGAGGCACTTTCCAGGTAAGTCAGGCAGGAAGCCCCTGCTGAGAAAGGAGCCGACCTTAACAGCAGGGTTCCCCAACAAAGTGGGAGCTGATTTAGTACAGAGGGGCAAGATTTGGTTAGAGAAAAGGCAAAGGACACTTAGCTTCCGCCACTAGAGGGGGCTCTGGACCTTCAAACCACCAGGTTGCCCCCCCATCCCAGCCCAAAAGGGAAGTAATTCTGTGAGGTTCTCCCCAGGGTCACACCTGGGTTTGCAAAAATTTGCATGCTGTTTGACAACTATATACTTCTTATCAAGCAATTTTACAGGCTGTCAGCTCTTGGCTTTTCCAATCTTTCTCTCTTTCACCCACCCTGTCATCCACCCACGCTCTCCTTGACAAGAGGGTGCAGAGACAGACAGGACAGTCAACATCAACTCCAAGGGACCTCGGATGCCCTCCCCAGCTCACTCCTTCTCCTTTACAAGGAGGCAGTCCCATGGAGGAGAGGGAAATGTGTCATGAGCCAGACCATGCCACTACTGCCTGTTGAGATGTGAATGCTCCCTGTAGAAAGGGGGTGCCTTCCCTGGAATGGGGTGGGGCACTCTAAGGAAGAGCTGAAGCAATTCCCTCCCAACCCCAGCTCTATTTGTACCAGGACAACTAGTTCCTACCTGGGGCTAATGCTGTGCAGTTAGGTGTGCGACCCTCTCATGTGCAGTCAGCTGCTCAGGGGCTACCGCCTTGAAGGGAGGCACAAGAAGCCCCTGTGCCCTGGGCTTCAGAGGTAAAGAAAGTGCTAGAAAAGGATCTTGAAGAGGAAGAGCTCAACTTCTCATCCCTGTCTTTGAGGAAGAAAGAAGCAGACACCAGGGTCCCTGGAGGAAGCTTGAATTTCAGGGCCTTGGTTGGGGTGGGGGGGTTGTGCCATATGTCACCTCCATGTTCTTAGGATGGGAGGGGAGGGCTCTGGGCATGCTTGACTTTCCTATGTGTGTCACCCTTTCTCTTCTCCCTCTGCCCAGGGAATCTCGTGCTTTGGAGAGGGAACTCTCAAAAGTACAGCCAGGTCTGCCTGGTTGGCTCCTGGGTACTGTGTGCAAATGTTTAAAAACAGGCAGCAGTGACAAGCACTGACTGCCCAGTCATCCAAGCAGAAGAATCTGACAGTAGAGGCAGCAGGAAAGGACAAGACAATGGGCTTCACATTCCTATGGAAACAGCACCTTAAGGTTAGGGGCAGGGGAAAAGAAAGATTCCATCTCACTTCCAGTAAGGACTTGGGAAACATCCCCTTTGTTGGGCTTGTTCCCTCCTCTTCCTTGCCAGGTGTTCACCATGGCAACCCTCCTTCCAAACAAGAGGTACAGAACATAGCAGCATCTGGTGTTGGGAGAGCCAGGGAGCTCCAGGGGAATGGGAACAGAGGAACCAGTCACTCCTCCCCTGACAGGACAAGGGCCTGGACCCCTGACAGGACAAGGGCCTGGATTCAGGCCTGGCTTTGAATTGGGCCTTCAACCACTTCCCATTCTCTGCACTGACCGCATCTCTTCCAGCTTCCACCTGCCACATCTGTGCTTAAAGAGTCATCCTAAGGGCGAAGGGAGAGAGTACCTATGTAGAGCCTGGTCTGCTGAGCTGCTCAGGAAATGTGACCCAATGGGAGTGGTGAGGAGGGCCTGGTACTCATACTGTGTCTATATCACAGAGAAACCCCCACACACACCTCCCCAGGCCTGCTCTAAGAGGCAAATATATTTCCTGGGTGTCAGGCTTGGTATCAGTTACTGAAAATCAGCAGAAGAAAATCAGGTCTTAGGCCACTTATCATTGGATCAAAGCCTGAGGGAACACCTGAGCCCTGGGATCCCTGAGCTGCCCAGAACAGATACTTCACAACCTATTTTCACATAGTTGACCAGCCAGGACGTCCAGTTCTCATCACTGTAAAGTCCTGCAGCCATAGAAGGAGAGATCTCAACACAGAATCCTTCCAGCTCAGGGATGCTGAGAAAAGAAAGGCTCCACAGCAGCCTCACTGTCCCCATCAGCCTACTGAAAGGCATTTTAGGAGGCTGCTCTGGAGAAAGATAAAAGCCAGGGCCTCAAGGGAGTCCCAGAGAGATTGTTACCACATCACCAATCTCTCCCAGAGGGCAAACCCACTTATCAAACAGACAGGGAAAAGAAATTCTATTACCACAGAATCAGGAAGCTGGATCAGGACACCATTAGGGCACAGGTGAGGTGGGGTGTGTTTAACCAGGTCAGGCCCTGATGACAACAAGGAACAAGGTTGGCCAGAAAGAGCCCTAGACTCACAGCCTTAGCCCTGTCCCAGAAGGGCTGGGTTCTTTCCTCATTTATAAGAGAGAAATTTGCCACACTTCCTTCTTTTGCTGGAGTGACTCTGAGGATGGATCTAATGCCAGTGGGAGTAGTAAAAGTCCTCAGACCATCCCATGCCTACTGTTGTACTGAGTATAGGCAAGGCATGCATTGCTCTCCCCTCTCAGAAGAGGAAACTGAATCTTGGAACTGCAGTGATTTATTTGCCCAGGGCCCCTGGGTTCAATGGCCAGAGCCAGATTAGGAATAGAGGTCCTTCTGACTCCAGAGCTCCAGCTTGTTCCTGTCAGCAAGCCATTCCTGGACCTATGACGCAGCCTCTCCCTTAAGGGTCATATGTGGGGCCAGGAGCTTACCTGAGATGTTGGTACTGGAACCTTCGTTGGGCCTCTTCCCTGGCAGACACTCCACATCAGTAAAGGTCTCAGTGGAGGGGGAGCTGTCCATATTGGGCACAGCAGTCCTCTTTACTCGTCGGCTGAAGAGCTTGCTGCTGAAGCGCTTGCCCTCCTTGGCTAGGGTGGCCTCTCCATTGGCAGTTTCTCCCTTGCCATTCTGGGGGAGTACCTCTCGGGATTTGTGCCTTGGGTCTATTTGCATATGACAGACCATCCTGCTGTCCTTAGGTCTCTGTAAACCAAGAGGAATGGGCTCCACTGTGGGCAACACCTGCTCCACTGTAACCAGGTCATTGAGAAAGCGCTCCAGGCGCCGGGAAGAATCGCAACCTCTGCCACTGTCCTCTTGTCCCTCTGGGTTGCCACCAGCCTCCCGCTGCTGCCGTGTAGTCCAGCGCATCATCTCTCCTGGAGGGGGGCGGCTGCCTGCCACCAAGGCATACTTGGGGTTAATAAGCTTTCGAGCTACAGTGGAGGAGTAGTTGAGGCCAATTCTGCCTGCCAAGCCCGGCTGCTGGTACAGGTTCACCTCCTCAGAGATGGCATACAGCTCCCGGAACTCTATATCAAAGGGCTCCACGTTCTGCCCTGTCAGGAGCAAGAGAAGGTTCCTGTCCACGTGAGAGGAACTCCAGGTAAACCTGGGGACATGAGGACAGAAAAGCAGACACATGGGCCCAGGCCTCCCTGGGAGCTTCTTCAATGCCCCCACCTCCTGTCTGTCCTGTCACTGTGACCACACTGACTGGTGTCTGGAGGAAGGCACCTCCCGCCCTTCTCACTGGACTGTTCTTTCACAGGCCTAATTCTCCTTTCCTTTCCTTTTGGTTGGTCTTGAGAAGTCAAACCTGGATTCACACCTACCCCATGTGCCTTGTACAATGGAGCTCACGGGACGTAAGCTACAATATGCCATAGAGAGGTCACTTAACTTAGAGTTGAGAGGCTCAAATAAGATTACCTGCATTAAGCATCAGCTCAGTACCTAGTACAATCACATTCCATACATGGTAACTGAGCTGCTGCTATTGCTGGCATTGGTTTATCCCTACTGGTTTTCAGACTCTTTAGAGTGTATGGCATCTACAAAAACCCATACTTTAACTTCAAAAGAGGACTCAAGTCATTTATTCATTGTTACATGTGCTCAGGTCTCACCTAGATTTTCTTTTTTTTTTTGGAAAAGAGAGATGGTGTACATAGAGGCTCTAGTGTTCCTGGTGTTTTACTTTTCAATTTAAATTCTGGAGTCATTCCTCTATGCCACACCTCACTTTTCTTTCCTTGATTTTTGTTCTACTTCCTGCTTATCCTACCCAAGAACTAGCCTCAAAATACAACTGGTTGCTGAGTTGATAATAAGCAGGTAGTATTTAATTCCCAGGAAGAGTTGACCCTCTTTCTCGGATAATCAATCTGTCAATCAGAAAGTCTGAGGGAAAGAACTGGGCAGGAGGCTGTTTATCATCCTGGACAATTCCTCTTTAAACTCGTGACAGTGGAGGCTCCAGGGTAGCACATTCCTGAATAATTACCATGAATACAGGACTCCTGGCCCCTCCTCTGATATGTCCTAACACACCTGTAGGATCCAGTGGCTACTTTGTCGCCATCTACCATCAGGAACCTGGATGAGAGTGTCCCTTTGATCTTCCCCATGGGCATGTAGAAGCCAACGCCTGTCACTGAGCGGACTCGTATATTCTGCAGAAAAGAGAAAAAAAAACCACCATCCTGTTTAGGGAGGCTTCAGAGGTCTGCATGAAGGCTTTACTTCAAGAGTAAAGCCTCTTGTCCACAGACCCTGCCTGCTGCCTAGTTATTCCCTTAAATTCTCTGCTTCCTTCAGCTTTACATATAGAACCTTATCTGGCAGGTACAAAGAAGTCACTAAACTTCACTTTGGGGATCCACAAGCCCAGGAGAGTTCCTGCCCATGCTCAGAGTTCTCACCAAGAGAGCTATCCTATATTATCCTGATAGTGAGGTCAATGACTCTGTAGACTGAATAAGGATTGGGCCAGAGCTGCTTCCTTCAGCCTCAGCAGCCTTGGGGTAAAATTTAAGCTAGGTATTGTGAGTGAGCAGTTACCTGCTCCTGAGTGGAGGCTTTATAAAGAAGGAAAAGAGTTGGGATCTTGAACTTTAACCTGACCCCTGAGCTGGGGAGGAGGCAAAAAGAGATGCCAGAGGAAGAGGCAGCAGGAGTTCCAATTTCATTCCTGCCTATACCCTGCCCCAGTGGTGCAACTCACCCGAATACGGAAGTCAGCAAGATCCAGGCCCTGACACATCTCCAGGAAGTATTTCACCCCTGCTTCATCTAGGATGATGTACACTGGGACCCGGCGTTTAAAGGCTGCATCCACAATGTCTTGGAAAATATCCCCATCAGTGAAGAGATCCATGACCACCGCAATGACCTAGACAGGAAAGGTCCTCCTGAAGCATGTTATAACTATACGCCTCTGAGACACACCTGCCCAGAGAGGCCCTTCTTGGAGCAACTGGTGGCCAAGAGTCAAAAATCCCAGCTGCCATAGCTCCTGGGTTCTTCCAGGTACCAGACATAAGTTCAGATGAAAGGCCTCGGGGTGCAGGCTCTGCTGCTGGTACTTACTTTACTCTGGACAAATCCCAGCTCTCTCAGGGAACTTATAGAAACCCTTCAGAAGCCACATCAGAAGAAGGCTGGGAGGCTGCAAAGAGCTGCCCTGGTACCCCAGGGCAACAGCACAAGTGAACAGATGTTATCACAGAGGTGTAAGGGATGATTTTCTGTCAGCTACAAATCTATGTGAACGTCATGCTCTCAGCAGGCCTGAGCACTCTGCTCTTCTTGCAGCTGTGCAAAGCCCTGAGGGTACACAGTGCTGATGCTGGCAGAGGTCCAGTTGGCTCTGGTGTCCATGATCACAGTGTTCAGCCCTTCCCACCCCATCCTCAAATCAAGGATACTGCTCAGGATATTTCATATACAAAAATAAATCCTAGTTGTGTCCCCTGGAGGCAGAGGCCTTTTGCACCCAAGAGCAGACCCAATTTTCTCATGAGCCGTTTCTATTTTCCTACATAAACCATCATGTACTCCAGCTGCAAGGGTTTTCTTGTGAGCCCCAAACAACGTGGACCCACCACTTTCTGTTTATATGACCTTAGGCAAGATAATTGACCTCAATGAACCTACTTCCTCATCTGTGAAGTGGCAATGCCCTGCATGTTATACATTTGCCATGAGGGTTAGGGATAAGGCATGTTACATGCCACATGTATCTGGTACCTAATAAGTCCTCAATAAGCAGTAGTTGTATATTCCAGGGATGGTTTGCTGTCAGAACTGAAAGTACAGACTCATCAACCAGGCAAATAGGCTTAGTGTCTCAACTCCGAGCTTCATCAGCACTCTAGACTCCTCAGCAGGAAGATGGAGCTGACAATGGCACCTATCTCAAAGGGTTGTCTTGAGGATTCAATGGCACACATTAGCACTTAGAATAATGCTGGGCACATGGCAAGTTCAAGGAGCTACAGTCACCTACAACACCATCACCACCTTCACACATATACTTCACCATGTTTCCTGCCTTCCCGAAATATCACTTAACTGCTCTCCCTAGCTCTTGCATTCTCCAATCATTAATATCAGTGTGATGATCACTGGATTTCCATAGGCAGAGTGAGGATCTAAAGACAGATAAGCTACAATTGCTGATTTCAAGGGTCAGTCCATGTGGATGATAAGCCAGTTGCACAAAATAACTAAGGCATAAGGTAAAAGAGATAAGCACCTTAAGAGTTATACAAGTGACATGTGATGAGGTGAAGAAGATAGGCAAGCCCGGCTTCAAGCCAGAGAAGAATCAGACAGACATCACAATGAAGAATAGGATGGCCCAAGGTGCTGTGAGAAAGCACAGGGAAGAGAAGGGAACAGGGCAGACAACTGAGCAGGGAACTTGGCTGGGCTGCTGTGTATCAGTGTGCCCTGCCAAGGCACTGGGCTGAGGGGGGCTGGAGCTGTGTCTGCTCTGCTAAGGGGCCTATAAAATAGGCATTTCAGGCAAACAGCGCAACATTGGCAAAGGCATTCTGAGAAAATATGCCGCTTAAATCGACATTAACTTGCCTGGGCCATTGAGTCCAGACATTTGGTGAAACATCATTCCAGATGTTTCTATGAAAGTGTATTTTGGACAAGATCAACATTTAAATAAATGACCTTCAAATAAAGCAGACTCCCCTTCATCATGTGTGGGGGCCTTCTCCATCAGTTGAAGGCCTTCATAGACAAAGACTGACTTCTGAGCAAGAAGACATTTTGCCAGCAACCTGCCTTGAACTTGGACTGCAACTCTTCCCTAAATCTCTGGCCTGTTGACCTACCCTGAGATTTTGTACTAGCATCTCTTTAAAAGTAATTTCTCTAGCTAGGTGTACATCATACCTGTAATCTCAGCATTTGGAAGGTGGAGGTAGGAAAATCAGGAATTTAAGGCCATCCTTGGATATGTAAGTTAAAGACCAGTCTCGGCTACATGAGACCCTGTCTAAAAAACAAAACAAGAAAATCAAGTTTCTCACCCCCCTTTACACACACACACACACACACACACACACACACACACACACACTGTTGATTCTGTTTCTCTTGAGAACCCTGACTAATGTAGGCTGAGGATGGGAATTAACATGCACTAAATACTTACAGTGCACTTATACTTATGCTAAAGTACTCATGAGTGCCTAAGTATTCAAGCACTCTGGGTAAATTTTCTAATCTGATTTTTCGCAGCTGCTCTGTAAGGAAGGACTGTCTTTCCCATTTCATAATCAAGGAAGGAAATACACAGGGGCACAGTAACATGCCCAAGGTCACACACCTAGTACCTGGCAAAGCGAGAAACTCAGGTTCATCAAATTCAAGTCCACATTTCACTGCTGCAAAATATCTTAGAGACATCAAACCAAAAAATCATTCTTAGGAAAATACAAAACAAGACAGACAAATGTTTGGTGAGATTGACAGAGAGGAGGTACGAATAAAACACAGGATAAAAAAATGAGCGTTGGGGCTGGAGAGATGGCTCAGCGGTTAAGAACACTGGCTGTTCTTGCAGAAGACCCAGGTTCGAATTCCAGCACCCACATGGCAGCTAACAACTGTCTGTAACTCCAGTCCCAGGGGATCCGACAGCCTCTTCTGACCTCTGTGGGCATTGCATGACACTTAGCTACATACAGGTAATACATGCATACACAAAGTTTTTTAAAATTAAAAATTAAATTATAAAAAAAGAAAGAAAAAAGGAGCGCTAACTATAAATACAATAGAAATTTGAGAAATGGTTAAAAAAATGAGCTGGATATGATGGTGAACTTACAAGATTTAAGTGTATGCTACAAGGCACCAAAACCACACTTGGCCACCCCAGAGAATCTATAAAGGGATAGGGACAAGGACACTCACTGCAGCTTTCTTTGGGGCAACAAGGAATTGGAAACAATTTAGAAATCTTTCTCTAGAAGACAGGGTTAGGGAATATCAGGCATGGGATGGATAGGACAGTTCATAGCTGAACAGAGCAATGGGCAGCTTCCACACGCAGTTCTTAGGCCTTTTTCTTGTTTTCTTTTTTGGTCTTTTTAGACAAGGTCTCCCCGTAGCCCCAGCTGGCCTGGAGATTTGTCTACCTCTGCCTCCCGAGTGCTGGGATTAAAGGCCTGCGCAACCACGCCTGGCTAGTCTTTTTTTTTTTAAGGTCAAAAAAAATTATGTGTATGTGTGTGAACCTGAGTGTATATATGTGCACCATGTGTATGCAAATGCCTGCAGGGACCAGAAAAGGGCATCAGACCCCCTGGAACTGGAGTTACAGGTGGCTGTGAACCACTGAATGTGGGTATTGGAAATTGAACCCAACTCCTTAAGAGCAGCAAGTGCTCTTAACTTCTGAGTCGTCTCTCCAGTCCCTAGATACTTCTTTTTGAACATTTTTTTTTTTTAATTTTATGTGTACGAGAGTAGTGCCTGCATGTATATAAGTGCACCCATGTCATGCAGTGACCGTGGAGGTCAGAAGAGAGTGTCGGATCACCTGGAACTGGAGTTACAGATGATTGTTAGCCACCATGTAGGTGCTGGGACTTGAACTCCGGTTCCAGATAGTAGTTCTTAAAATGGAGAGTTCAAGCCAGGAATAGTGGCTCACACCTACAATTCCAGATCTTGGAAGGCATATGCAGGAGGGTCAAGAATTCAAGGTTGGGGACTAGAGAGATGGCTAAGCAGTTAAGAGTATGGACTCTTCTTACAGAGGACTCAGGTTCGATTCCCAGCACCCACATGGTGGCTAACAACTGTAATTCCAGTTCCGGGAGATCCACTTACACATATGTAGGCCTAACACTTATACATATAAAATAAAAATAAATTTCAACATAGTAAGTTCCAGGCCAACCTAGGTGACTGGAGACACTGTCTCAAAACACAAAACAAAACATACAAAGAATAGTTCAATTAAAAATGTTACGGTGAAGCCAGGTGTGGTGGCACACGCCTTTAGTCCCAGCACTTGGGAGGCAGAGGCAGGTTGATCTCTGTGAGTTTGAGGCCAGCCTGGTCTACATAGCGAGTTCCAGGCCAGCTGGGGCTATAGGGAGACCCTGCCTCAAAAAGGAAAAAAAAAAAAAAAAAAAAAGGTTATGGTGTCTACAGCCTAGCCTAATACTATTTATGTAAAATAGTCTTCTGCTACTAAATTGTTACTATATATTTTTCAAGGATATTAACATGTCCAAAGATGTAACTGAACACAGGTGGGGAAAGGGATGGGAAGGAAGGAAAAAGAGAAAATAAGAGTGGGGCCTTTGGTGGGTAGATGATGGCAGTGTACTCTGAACTACAGAATCCAATCAGTTCTTTGTACTTGAAGTTCCAAAGGCCAACCAATCAAACAAAACACATGCCCAAGTCCTCCAGTGGGTCTGGCAAAGTCTGGAATAGATATAGGAAGGGTACAGTGGGGTTAGGCTGGCCCATGGTATTGGGGAGTTGTAGCATGGTGCTGCAGAGTTCTGGCTTCATTTCATTAAAAATGGTAGTCTCTGGGCTGGCAAGACAGCTAAGCAGGTAAAGGTGCTTGCCACTGGATAATAAAGCTCAATGACTTGAGTTTGATCCCCAGAACCACATAAAGGTAGATGGAGAGAACCTCTGACCTCCCCATGCATGGCATGGCATGCTAGCCTCCCCCCACATAATAATAAATTAAGTGAAAATTTTGGAAAAAAAGGGAGATTCCTTGAGTATATTGCCTGACTGATCTCCCATCTCTTCTCATTAGTGCTGAGGCCACAGTCCACTGCCCTCTCTTATTTCCAAACATTCCCCAACCTCCATCCCAGAATCACGTCCTGTCATCAA